TGTGATGTTTGGTGCATCCCTAGGTTCAAACAGATTGTTTCTCTCCCCTATAGTCCACGAAACTATAAAAGAAAGCTTGCTAACCTGATTAGGCAACTTTGAAGAGGATCACTCTATCGGTAGACAGCTTTCACACTGTATAAGAACAATGTGGTAAGACAGGATATGTAGGAGTTGCGTCCTGCTTGGTATTTATATCCCTAGGCTTGGCAGCCTACGCCAACCAGCCCGTAACAGAATGTCCACTAGGAGATTAAGAGTTATTTCTTAAGGAGTCACGCCCCATTTGGCCATATGGCTTCTAGATTTGGTAGTGTCCAACCGGCGGCAAACCGGAGTATTCACTAGAGAGTATATACCTGCATCAATCGGTCCAAGCTGCAGCTGGAGTCAGGTGGTAGTAGGTGAAACGTGATAAGAACTCTAATGATGGTGGCAAGTAATAAAATGCCTTTCAAATAGATCACACCTGGATTGCAAACTCACCTTCAGGGTGTCAATTGGTAACCAAGTTAGAATTATAGGTGGTGTTAGGGTTAGAATAGCTAGTATAGTTAGTCAGACTCTTCATGTAATGACTGTAACTTCAATGCTAAGTTAATAAAATTCGCATGTAATTCACTTTGTCTCTAAAAAAAAAAAAAAAAAAGAAAAGAGTATATTTATACTTTAAAAGATATGTCACTTTTTTTACACACTGTTGATTTTTTTGAAAATGAAATAATTGAAATTTTAGAAAATATTGAATCAACTAAAATTAGTGCTATTGTTACCAATGCTGCCAGTACTTTAGTTGTAGTCAAAAAAAAATTATTAAAAAATATTCACATATTGTTTCTTTATAATATATTGTATATTATATCAATTTAATAGTAACAGATATTACAAAAACAGCTTTTGCTAAAAACATTTTAGAAAAATATATCAAGATTACAAATTTTTTTAAAAAAGCTTATTAAGCAGAAAGTTATTTACAAGAAAAAATTGTTAATGAATTAATTGCTGGAGAGAATCTAAAAACTTATATAAAAACATGATGGTCTTCAACATTTGACAGTATTGATTTAATATTATAATTAAAAACTTGTTTCTGAAATGTAAATATTTATAAATTTGTAATTTTTTGTTAATATTTTTGCAAATATTTATTAATATTATTTATTTAGATACTTAAACAAACACCTGAAATTTTAAACAAAAATATTATAAAAATTTTTCATAACAGATAATTTTTTGAAGATTTAGAAGAATTAAACCAAGTTTGATATTGATTAAAGAAGTATACAAAACTATTGAAAGAAAAAATAAAAACCCAATTAATTGTTTTCTTCAACTTGTTTGGTTAGCAATAGAAATTCAAATTTTGCTTAACAATTTCAATTAAGATTTTTGTCAGAAATATATTTCAATTTTTAACAAATAATGACAATAATTTAATATCAAATTATATATTTTGATATATTTTTTACATCCACAGTATTAGGGTTAATGTTTTTTATTTAAATATATTTATATATTGCAAATCAATATTTATACTAATTTATTATATAGATAAAGATATATATCAAAACCAATATTATGAAATATATAGAACAGCTATAAAATTTTATCAAAATATAAAAGGTAGAAGCAATTTATATTTAAAATTAGTTGCTCAAATATGAAAATATTTATTACAACAAAATCTTTACAACACAACATATATTAAAAATGTGGATACATCATATATTTTGTAGGAAACATAACATTAAAATGATAACTATATTTAAAAACTTGTATTGAAAGTTTTATTAATTGTACCTCAAATACAAACAGTAAAAAAATTTTTTCTGTTTTAAAATAGTTTATAAATAAATAAAGAATAAAGTAATATATTTATAATTTTAATATAAATTTATTTATATAACTTGTATTAATATAAATTTTATAATATAGAATATCAATTCAATGACTTGAAGCAATGGCTCAGTTGCATTCATATTATATAACAAATTCACATAAAGAAATTTATTTTCCAAATAATTTTACCGACAATGAGTTACAAGAAGCTATTGAAGCAGCATTTGATACTAATAATAATAATGAAACCGATAATGAATTAAATGAAGAATATTTAAACAGTGAAGAATTTATAGAAGACAGTAGTATGGATTATAGCTCAACATTTTTAGAAATTACCGATTATTTCAATTTTGATAATGCAGAATTTCAACGATTAATGGAAGTTAATGTGCAAGTTATAGTTGAGTCTCATCAACATATTATAGACCATGGTAAAAAAGAATTTGATATCGATTCAATACTTGATAGTACATTAGAAGAATTAGAGTAATTTTCGATTTTATTTTATTTTATTTTTTTATTTTTTTTCGTGCAATAAAATATTTTTAATACAAAGTTTGCAAAATATTATATTTTATTATTTGCTATAAAAAATATATACATATTAATTCCAGTTCCATTCATTGTATTTATATTTTATTAAATTATTATTGTCTTCATTAAATAAAAATTCACTGTCACTGCTACTGCCTTCATTATCATTCCCAGTACTATTATTTTTTTTTCCAGCCTTTTTGAATGCCTTATATATTGTTGGAGTTTGTTAAAGCTATTGTAATCGTATCTTTTTTTTTTTGATGTTTCTTGATTATTTTTCCAATTATTAGCTGCTGTTACAGTTTTTTTTACTAAATTTTGTGACCATCCTACTTGATAACTATTGGATGGCAGTACCGTTGTTCCATGTTTATCTTTTTCTAGCCAGCACCACAAAGTATTGCTATCATTTTAATTAAAATGCCATATTCAAGCAAGAAAAAATTTCCACCTTCAAAATCACATTTGCTGTTTTGATTATCGTTTCTGGCACATATATAACCTCAAGCATATTTTAAAAAATTGTTGTCGATATGGACATGTTTTGAATAGTTTTGTGATGCATATACTTCACACAGGCCCAGCTGAAAAAGCAATTCAATAGTTATGTTGTGATAATTAATCATAAATCCTTGAGAACCCTTGGAACCATACATATTTCTATCCATTCTTGAAAGATCGTAGCATTCCAAAAGCTGCTTAGGAAAAAAATGCATTGCATAGCTGTAAAGTAGCTCTACACTTGTAACTACTTTGGCTTCATGCTCTTGCAGTTCATCGGTGTTGTCAAGATTTTTGATATTTCTAACATATGTAAAAATTTCACATTGTCATATATACAGGTATCCTGCTGTTGCTAGTGCCTCTTGATTAATGTTTTTGAGAGATTCTCTTGCTACTTTTCTCCTGTATTGAAACATTGTTTTTGCTGTTTCATGCATAAAATTCATTGCTTCTTTACCAATCCTGTTTCTGTATATGGCCATCAACAATCATCCTGTAGTTGCATCGCGAATTATAACTTCTTGATTTTTTTCAATAACATTTGACAAAAAATCTGATGCATGTGCTGTTTTTGCTGTAAAAGGCAAAGTATTTGTTCCTTCAACTATCCACAGTTTTTGTTATGTAACTTGCCCTTTGACATAAAAAGCAAGAGGCTTTAAATAAATTGTTTTAATATTTAAAACCTTCTCAAAAGCATTTGTTGTTAAAAGATTTTTTTGTATCTTGATTATAAAACAAATTAATAAATAGTTTCAATATATTAATATACAATATCTATACACTTACAAAAATTTTTTTCAAGTGTCTTTTCTTTTTCTTTTTTATTAAAATAACTTGTCGTAAATATGCAAATTTTTCAATTTTACATATATCCAAGTAACGATTAAAATATCTCTATTTATTATTCTAAATAAATGTTTAATTTGAATAAATAAATATGACAAGTAAACCTATTTTACAAAAATAATGAATATACTTGCATTTTCTATTGATAGAATCTTTTCTCCAGTTGCTTGTTTCCAATGAATATGCATATTTTTAACAGGATTCTTCAAAATTTCTTCAAAATTCTTGCTAGATGTCTTTTCAAGTTTCAAAAGATAAAGATCAAATTTTTCCATGTTTGCATCTATATAAATTAAACCCATTTAATCCATATAGCTACTATTTTACTGCTTCTTTCAAAACACCAGCAATCTATAAAACCAGCTGGCAGCAAGTGCATGAGCTCCAACCTTTGCAGGTCAAGAGGGACAACACATGCTGCAAAGAATGCACAACACTACACACGAATGGGCTCTGGCTTTGCAAGCTGCATACAACCTGCACCAAGAGGGTTCGTGTGCCTGCTGAGCTTTCCTGCCACTAGCAAAGCAGATGCTGTAACTGCCACTTGTCTTGCCTTGCTGCTCCTTGCTTTGGTGTTCCATGCCTTGCTGTTCCTTGCTCTGGTCGCCTGTCGTAGTAACAGTCGTGACTGCTGCCAGGGATACCTGCATAGGTAAAGAAGAAGAAAACCATGGTTACTAAACACGAAACAAGCAGGGGGCACGCGAGGTCCATGTCGCCGGGAAGGGAACTGGGTGGGGAGAGAGGAAAGGGGAGGGAGGGAAGTGGAGAGAAGAAAGAAAAGAAAAAAGGAATAGAGGAGAGGTTCGGAAATGAAAGAAAGAAAATAGAGAAGAGATACGGGAATGGAAGAGAAGAAATAGGGAAAAGAAATGAAAATAGAAGAGAGGAAACAGTGGAAAGAAATGGGAGAGAGGTACAGGAATAGAAGAAAAGGAACGGGAGGGGAATAGAAGAGAGAGAACAGGAGAAAGGAAATGTGAACGGAGGAAAGAGAACGTAAACGGGAGGAGAGGAAATGCGAATGGGAAAAAAGGAAAAAGAGTGGGAAACAGGGAACAGGTGAAAGGGAATGTGAATGGGAACAGGAGAAAGGGAGCGGGATAAGGCATGGGAGGGAGGGAACAAACGATAGCGGGAGAAGGGCAAGGGAACGGGAGAGAGGAAACAAACAGGAGCAGGAGAGGAGCAAGGGAACGGAAGAGAGGGAACGAACGTGAGCGGGAGAGGAACAGGAGAACAAAAGAGAAACAGTAAAAAAATATTTACACAGGTCTTGAAACAAAAAAAAAAGATATGTAAAAAAAATCAGTAACTGAAAAAATTTTTTATATCTTTTTTTTTTAATTTATTTGAGTTTTAATTATGTAATTTAAAATGCAAAAAAAATTTAATGTTAATTTTTTTAAATTTATAAAATTTTATTTATATAATAAATAATTAAAAAAATTATATTTAATTTAAAAAATACAACACCATTTCTTTATTTATTTGTATAATAATAGATATACTGTACATTGTGTGTTTAAAAATATTTTTTATAATAAATATAAATATATAGCATATAAGAATTATATTTAGTTAAATTTTAATAGCAACTTGTCTATATATAAGATTAATAAATACTTGCATTTGTAGTTTAATTAGAGATTTAAAAAAAAAAACAATTTGTTTATATATATAAAATATTGTAATTATATTTTTTTTATTAATTGTAAATTTTTATAAATTTTTATTAATTACATAATCATTTTATTAATATAATTTTGTTTATTATAATATTTTAATAATAATAGTTTTTAATAATAACAATTATTTAATAACAATAATTTTTTTTAAATTATATTGTATAAAATTGCCAAGTAATATATAACAAACTCGTAATAATTATTATTTATATAATTATATTGTTATAAAAAATTTTAATTAATAATATAATTATTAATTGTTTATTATTTATTAAATAATTTTATTATAATATAATTTTTTAAAAAATAATTAAATAAATGTTTTTTTTAATTACTATTATATATAAAATAAAAATATTATATAACTACAATATTGTAAATTTTTTTTTTAATTACAGTTTTTTAAATTTTTGTTATATATAAAACTTTTTTAAATAAATATAATTAAATATAATTTCTTATTATTGTGGTTTCTTATTAACTATAATTTTATTGTTATAATTTTTTATTAATTATAGTTTCCTGCTATTAAAATTTATTATTAATTATAATTTCTTACAATTTTTTATTAATTATATTTTGTTATTAATTATGATTACAATTACATACAAATCTAAAAATAACTTGTTAATGGGTGTTCTGCAATATGCACAATTTAGCTCTAGTATAAAACCTTAGGATTCAATGTATTATTGTTTTATTTATATAAAAATTAATAAACACAGTGATTACAATCTAATTAAAGGCAAAAAAAATTTTTTTTAATTATGATTACAATTAAGATTTCAATTATAGTTTTTTATTAATTACGATTTCATATTAATTATGATTTTGTATTAATTACAATTTCATATTAATTACGATTTCTTATTTAATTCAAATATAAATATTATATTATTATTAAAAATTGTATTAATTTGAAAATTAAAAATATAATTCCACCACATATATAGTATACCCCACCTATTAAATTTAATATAAACTTGAAAATCAAATACAAAATCAAAAAGAATCATTAGGATTTTTATTTTATCCAAAGTATTTCTAATTTTACAATTAGTTTTTTTGCATATATATCTTTGTTCAGTATTTTTTTTTCCTTTAATTTTTTATTTCTAATAATCTTTTTATGTATAAATTTGAGTAAATATTTATAACTGTTCAGCATTATCTTAGATATGTAATATTTTAATATTTATTTTTCTTATTATTTAGATAGTTTATCTAAACAAGCTAGCATTAAACTTATTAGCTTAGCAAGTTATATAAAAGATGTTATCACTTTCTCCATATATAAATTTTAAACAATTTTATAATAATAAAGTAATAATATTTATTTACTTAAAAAAAAAATATTAAAGTTTAGTTTAAACTAATTTTTAAATATTTTTATAAATTTTAATTGTATTTTTTTTATATATAGAAATTTTATTGCATTGTATATATGCTTTAAATTTATTATTCTTAAGAATACTTTGAATTGTATTAATATTAATATTGATTTTTTCATATTTTTTTAGAATTCATATATATTTATAACTGTTTTAGACAAATAATGTGAGAAGGTTTGCATTGTTACATGGACTGATGTCATAACAATCCAAATCTCTAAAATTTGAGATATTTTCATTATAGTTAATTATTTTTTATGTCTTTTTTTAGTTATATGTCTTTTCTTGGTTATAGCAATTATAGTGATTATAGTAGAAATAGTTAGGATAGTTAGAATAGTCATTATAGTTGTTATAATTTTACTATGATATTAGCATGTATATAAAGGAAAGGCCAAATCAAAAATAAAGAGAGAGAACTTCTGCAACAGAAACTAAGTAACAGTTTGAATAGTTGTTTTACCATAAATGTGTATTAATAAATAGTAAGTTTGTTTTGTAGAATTTAAGGAAGAAACTCAGATCAAATTATTGCACCTCAGTCTTAAAAACCTTAGTAGTGAAGAAAGGTTTGGATAACCCCTCACAATAACCAGAAATAGGTTTATTTTCTAATTTGTTTATTTCAAGATACTTTTATTTAAATATAAATATGATAAATAATAAACATTGTTATCAATTTTGATAACAATTTGATGTAAACTATAACCTACTTCTAATAAGATAACCTTTACTCTTTTCTTTATAGATAACTGTCTTAAAGACATTTAGTTTATACAAAGTTTTAATAATTTCTTACATTTTTGTATTTTTATAAAAAATGTCAAGAATTACACAAAAGCAAATTTTTATTTATTACTTTAATCACTATTCTACTATATACGTTGATTAGATTAGATGATACACTGTATGTATTATTAATTTCGCCATGATTTGGTTTGATCTGATCAAAATTTAAGTAATCAATGATCAACGATTAAGTGTTGCGTTCTTTTTGGAAGCCAGTGTAAATTAATGGCTCAGAACTCGATGATCCTGGGCATGGTGATATTGGATATGGTCGTTCATCATTCACTTTGGCACACATTTTCGCTTTCTTCGGAGTTGATAAGCATTCAGGCATCTGGTGGTGATCTTCCTCTCGGGATCGCTTTCGGTACCCTGAACCCTTAAATGATGATTTGGTAGTCTGTCGTTTTGTTTTGGATATCTCTATTGTCGTTCGAATTGCAGACTAACATTTACAAATACATCAGCTTTGTAAGTCAAAACATATATAGAACGGAAAACATACAACCAAAATACAACTAAACCTTTGCGATTAGGACAGATGCCAATATTGTCAAGACTGAATCAAATTTTTCCGCCGTATCTGGTACTTCCATAAGGTCGCTACGACGAAACCTGCAGATGTATCCTTTCGGATTGTCGGCATATACCAACGACATCATAAGACCTATTATAAAATTAAGTTATTGGTCAGCGATGAACACCTGATAATCCTTGCAAAATCAAGTTTAGGGACATACCTTCGTGTATAATTCCGACGGTCTGGATATTTTTGCACACATCTTTGTCCCAATTTGCCCTCTCCATTAAATTCATTAACATATCTTTCAGCGTTTTTGGAAGTTTTAAGCCAATTTCCTTGAGATACTTTGTCCCATATTTATCTGTCCAATCTTTGCCTGCCTCCCCCGCCCCAAATTCATCTTTGTTACCGTTGCCTACGGCTCTAAGAATCCAATCCCCTCTACGTCCAACTTTCCGACGTTCACCTGGTTTCCTTTTAGCTTGTTTATTCTTACGTGTTGCCGTTGACACACTCGTACTTTCCCCCCTTGATTACAAATCCAATTAATTCATAAATCAGATACAAATCAAGTTGAATCGAATTTTAAAATTTTTCTTTTCATTGCAAAAAAAAATCTAGTCAGATCAAGAGAAGCTACTTTCTAAAGGTAAATAATTACCTGACAACAGTCACTGCTTGTATATCTCCGAACACTTGGTCGAATATTATATTCCATATATGGCAGTTATACCAGTTTTCTAGGTTTGCGTTCTTGAGATTACCGTTTTCTATTTCCCTCACTCTGTCAATTCACGATTAGTAAGCTTCACAAAAACTCTGACGAGGTCCATATATACTGTATGTGTGCAGATGGTCTCACGGTCACAAGGACGAATATAAAAAACGACTACTTACAATGCATATAAAGCAAGACATATGTAGTCTATGTCATGATGCTTCTCACGGTTGTAATTATTACCGAACATTGATTCTTTAATTATCTGTCGAATGTCGTTTAAGTTTGTCTACAATAGAAGAGAAAAGATCGTGACTTATTACAGTATATGTGGTAACGTATAATTGAAATATTTATTACCTTGCCAGTGAATTCACTCAAAAAATTGTCAACTTCGTCCGAAAGATCGAGTACCTCCGGAATAGCTGTGTTTTCTATCTCCTCGAGTTCTTTCTCAGTGAAATGCCCCATAATCAACTCATCTTCAACATCAAGGATAAAGGAATGAATGGCACTATGTGAATAAAAATGCAATTTATTAGAATAATCACCATAAACATAATCTCATATGCATGAATACTTACTGTTCAAACACCAAACCGTTTCCGAGTTTAAACAACTCTTTTTCAACTATTCTTCCTGATGAAAGTTTCCACATATAACCTTCGTCCATTGCCTTATAGGATTTCGTAAACTCCATTCGATTTTGTTCGCGCATTATAAATGGCCCTTTCTAATGGAAAAAACATAAAGCCCTTGTTATTAATCATAAAAAGTGCTAAAATTCTCAATGAAGGTATACTTGGTTTTCTCTTGCTACTTCTTTGTTGCTCTCCTCCTTTACCTCTTCTTTATTATCAATCGCCTCCTTCAAGAGTAGATGATGATGAGAATAATAAACGTTTACAGCTAATAAACGTGCCAGTTATAATTACCTCATGATCCGGTGTATCCAAATCATCATCGTTCTCGTGGTTATGAATGTCAGTTTCTGCCTGTACGTACGCTCAGAAAGTTTAAGAAAATACTATTTTTATGGCTGAACATTAACATAAGTGTAATTACCTGGAACATGGAAGCATATAACAGATTGGAAGCTTGTGATCGTCGAGCCTGTGTATAATAGTCGTTATTGAAGGAAGAAATATTAAGGATATCGAAAATTTTCATAAAGTAAAAAACATAATACTTCAGGCGTATCGGCAGACAATTCTAATTTTGGATCATTATTTGAATCCAAGGTTGAATCACGCGGAGAATGAGTGTGGGTGTGGATATTTTGAGAAATGGTGATGATATGAGGGACTTCTTCCACAGGTTCTTTTCTTTCATTCTTGAAATTCACATGTTAGATACTATAACACTAAGTACTAACAAGGAATATTAACACAAACCTCTGAAAAGGCAAAGGAATCTTGAGAATTATCACTATTTATCCACTTTATAACGTTTTTCTCCACCTTCTCTACGTTAGCAGATATAGTACGACATGCAACATTATGAGAAATCGCTTGCACTTTTCGCTATAATCAATCGAATTCATAAACTAGTTAGGAAGCTCTCAATGGTAAACGCAATATCAAATCTACGACTTACTTCAGCAATTCTTTCGCGCAAAAGTAAATAAGTATTGATGAAGTTATTCTTAGTACGAGTTTTTATCAACTATATAACCGAAACCGAGTTAATTATTCAAATTCGGTACGAGTTAACTAGTAAAAGAAACATACAATCCATTGTTGCTGTAATGTTTTTACAAGCTCACGCGTTTCCTCCGAGACCGTTTGTTCTAATATATTATTAAGATGAAAAATATATGCATTTTCTAGATTTTCCCATGCATTCTCTGGAGGAATGCTTAGATAATCAAACTCGAAGCCTTTAATAAAATCACAGAATCGCTGAGGTGTGGACTCTTTCATAATGAACTCTGATAGCGAAATAAATCTGATCAACTTTGTATATAACGATAAGGCACGTATTACGTAACTAACGATCTATAGATCATATGACAAATAGCTTATAATGTAATTTGATTCGCGTTTAAAAAATGTCACTGCCCTCTCTCAAGTTCTTTCTGCTTTCTTTCATCCTAAGAGTCAGATTTGTGCTTCGTGAGCTCCGCTTCGTCCTTTTACAAGGCCCGGAGTCTCCCCACTTGTCTGCTGTGCTTCGTGAGCTCCGCTTCGTCCTTTTACAAGGCCCGGAGTCTCCCCACATATGCTCTTAGGATGAGATTGACAAAAAGCGAGTCCAAAGAGTCAGATTTGTGCTTCGTGAACTCCGCTTCGTCCTTTTACAAGGCCCGGAGTCTCCCCACATATGCTCTTTGGACTCGCTTTTTGTCAATCTTAATATACCTTTGAAAAAAATATCACATGCCTGAAAAAAATAATTCCTAAACAATTTATGGCTTTTCAAACTGAAATATTTATTAATAATAGCTAAGTAACGAAGTGAAAACTGAGAGGGAGTACGCGGATCCTATGCGAGTCCCAGCATATGTTATTTCATTGCTCCCCCAGACTTTTTATAAACTTCTACACCTAATTTATTTATGTCACTATTGCTATCTACGAGATTCTCACTCAGACTCTTTTATAATACTAGATTTCCGAAATAAATTTCCCGCACATATCTACAGAATTTTCGTCTATCGATATCGCTCTCACCCACACAGATATATAAAAGATTATTTCCCGCAAGAAAACTTCTCCGAGATTAGGTAATTTCGAATCTATAAGCATAAATTCGTGAGATTAGCAACTGATGTAATTACTATTTAATTTTCAGACACACTGTACCAAATTTTATTGAGGAACGGGATGTTAAGACAGGTGACGAGATTTATGTAAGTGATTTCACTGCGCCTATTATACGCGTGATGATGGTCAGTAATTTTCTCGGCGAAGATCAAAATGCCGATATATAACAAGAAGAGTAATACTTCCGTTTATTTTGGAATTTATTAGCATTGTAATGACATGTTTCATGAAGCTAGCAGAGCAATAAATTACTTTATTACTTAATTTCGGAATATAAAGGTTCGTTTTATTGTAAATATTGATGATGTTAATAACGGCAGTTTAATTATTAGAATTTTCGTTTGATTTTTCCTTGATTCTTGTTTATAATCGCACAGGGCAGATAGAAAGATTTACTAACTAGGACACCACTTTTTTATACAATTTGCAGGATCGACCTTGGGGAGAAATTACGTATCGCGAAAATCTGATCAACGACACCCTCTTAATTTAACGCTGTTCATATATAAAAATTATCAAGAAGCTATACATAATTTTGAGAATATGCGAGAAAGTTTGAGAATAATTTATTTTGTGCAATTACTTGTTCCCGTGATATATGTATAACATTACTGCGATTATTTATCAAGCTACAATAAAACTTGATTGAAAAAACAATAACACAATCTCATTATTCACTCCATGCAAAAAAATTATCATTGCTTATTGATCAAATTACTGGGAACATTCACATCGCTTATAAATTCCTTCTGTTACATTCTTACACCTTTTGCAATACAGATGTAGTAATAAAGTCAAAAGGAAAAATTATTATTTTGAATATGTTACCTATCATGGCATATGATACTGTAATCGTGAAGACTTTTCACGCTTCCAACCAATCACAGGAGATAATATACTTACTGCGTAGGATATCTAAATTTTAGCCGATATCATATTGCATTAGGTGATAGTCTCTTATGACCGGACTATGCTACGATCGCGAACTTGATTTTATTGCCTAAAGTGTTGCAGGTAAGACTATATTCCGTTCCATTTCTATAACATTTACCATGTAATCCATAATTCCTATGTATTCTATCGCAAATAGGGCATAGCGAATCCCACGGCTGGGCAAATGCAAAATTATAATTATCAATCCTTCTAAAGTTATTTCGAATTCTGGATTAGGTTTGACTTCGAAAGTGATAGGCCCTTTTTCTTCACATTGCTCAGAAAAAGAAAAATAGGATACTTCGTTTTCTGGCTTCAATTTATGCGAAGGTGGGTTTGATAATTACCATGGTTCATGTCCAGCTTCTTATAAGTTGGAATGAATCTCATCTGTCAAAATACTTGGTAAACCAGTGGGGTTAACATTTTATAGGACATGGCCTGGATACTTGATAAAATCAGGATAGAAATAATATAACATACTGCATCATATGATAATTGTGAAGACTCTTCTCACTTTCAAATAGGAATCACATTTATTATTTGAATCAAATTGAATTGAATTTTAAATTTTTAAATCTGATTGGATATTAATCAGATTTGGATTAGATATAGCTTAGTTTATATAAATTATTAAATAGGAAATTAAAATGAAAAACTTGTCTTTTTTAATTAATGTATAAAAGATTGTATTAAAAAAAATTTAATATCTGTTCTTTTTATCTTTTTAAAAATTTTTTTAAAATTTTTAGTAAGTTTTTTTTATATTGGTAAAATTTTCTTTTAAAATTATTTTAATGTTATAACTTTTATATTTAATTGTTTTAATTAATCCAGTTTGTTTTCTAACAATTCAAATATTTTTTAAAAATAAAGCATGAAAACTTATTCAATAATATGTAATACTTATATAAAGAAAATGGTAGTTTAATAAGTCTTAATAATAATAATAATGTTAATGTTTATACAAATAATAAACCTGTTGGTCTATAACACAATGGTTAGTACTTTACAGATCAAATCACAAAATATTGGTTCAATTCCAGGTGAAAGCAGTCAAACAAGATTAATATAATATCTGATACCATAACCTAACATGTACTATTTCTTATAAGAAGCTAATTTATATACTGATTCAATGTATACATGTTGCTGAAATTCGTAGATTTTTAATACAATTGATGCAATTATTTAATACAATTAATTAAGTCACTATTGAAACATATAAATAATTGAGTCATAATGCAATTCTTTTTGAGGATTTTGGGAATTGAGTCAACAGCAAATAATTTATACCATATGTATAATCCAGTGAGTATTGAGATTGTAACCTTCAAAATAAGAAAAAGTGATTTGACAATTGTTCAGTTGGCATTATGATAATCGATTTCAAGTTTGATACATTCTTTAGTTCCTAAAAGAGACACTTTTTTTCCTTATAGTCCATAAGACTATAAAAGAAACAGGTTTTTTCAAGAACTTAACTAGAGTTATAAGATTTTTCTTTGCTGAATATGATTAGTTCACAGCTATAGGGCTTCAAAAAGTATCAAGCTAATATTAAAATAGTATCAAAATAGTACTGATTTATTGTAAATTTAATATATGGGTTGTGACCTACTTATATAATTTTATAGTAAATCTAAGTATCGAACTAGTATCGAAATGTTATCAAAGTAATATCGTTAGAAACCCTATACAGCTGATTATATTAGGATATGGTTTTTAGAATTTTTATTTATTGGATAGTAAGTGAAACTAAAAGACATATATCCTGATATATTAATACTCTGCCTAAGGATCCTAATGATTCTTTTCGATTCTGTATTCGATTCTTAAGTTTATATTAAATTTAATAGGTGAGATATATCTCACTATCATTTTTAATAGTGTTCCGAACCTCATGCAATTCTGTTCGATTCTATTCGATTCCAATTTTTGGAACCATAACTCTGCCTATACTATTAGAATCTGGTATTAATAATATAAGAAGAATAAAAAGCAATAAATCAACTAATAATTAAGAATTATTTTAATTTAGATAGTTTTATCAAGTTGATACAGTAATAAATTTGTATAAAACAAATTTGTACATACTAAACTAATTAATATTTAATAAAATAATGTATATGCCAGTTGTTAAAAAAAAAATTAATACAAGTAATCTATTAAAAGCTGCTTTAATTAGTTTAATAATTTAGAAAAATGAAGTATAAGAACATTTTATAAAAAATTCAAATTTTAAAGATAACAAAAAGATTACTTGTAAAAATTATAAAACAATTTATGTCTATAATAAAAATAGTATTTTTAATTTAATTTTTTTTTTTTTTTGTAGATAAACATCATTTCTTTATTTGATTTGTATATAGCAAGGTATATATCGTGAAAGAAACAACATCTCTTATATGTTGGTATAATGAGTTAAATATTAGTTTACCTACAGTAACCATACAACTAATATTGAAAAGAAAATTTAAAACAATATATTTTGCCATATGGCACCAAGCAGCTATGAATACCTACTCAGCATTAGGAGAAATAGTAAGAGAATTAAAATTGATAGATAGAGTTGTTAGACTATAAATACATTTGGAATAATTATATTTAAATTGGATGAATAAGTTAACCATGGTAGAAGGTAGATCAATAATGATGTTATCTTGTGGATTGTTGGAGATGTCTTTGGCCTGTGAGGTGTTTTTAACTTCTGGATTAGTGGAATTGACTGAGTTATATATCTTGGTATGATCTCACTTGATTCTAGTGAGAGGTGAAGTATTGGCTATAGAGCAATACGGTTTCCAAATTAGATCATGCAATAAGAACAAAGATTCTGTTGCTGCCTTGATCCAGTTTGTAGAATCTATGGTTGAAAAGATTTTGTCTGTAACTCCATATGACAACTTAATGACTTGCCATATATGTGAGATTGGTTTATGATTATTGTCTAGATGGAGAGTTTGATTAATAGTATTAATAATTTGCTCAGCTGCTTGTACTGCTTTCGCACACTTGAAAACATGTTAAATGTCTTCCATACGATGTTCACATTGTGAACAGAGAGTATTTGGGTATTAATTAGGATATAACTGATGAAGTGTAAGATGAATTGGAAGAGTTTCTGAGAGCAATTTGATTCTGAAGGCTACTAAGATGCTGTATTTGTTATTACAAAGTTTTTTAATATTTTTGTTGGACTGGTTGATAACTTTTAGACCGTGTGGGGTATGTGTTCGTCCAAATGTTTGGACAATTAAGGAGCTTTTACATACCATATAGTCTCTGGTAATACTAAAAATTTTCTTGCACTATCTGATACTGCTATCCAAACAAGTATTGTTGATTAGGGGGTTTTCTGGAAAGTGTAGTAAAGGGTTGTTCCACTGGATGGTTCTGGTTGATCTTGGTCTGGATTTTGGTTTAGTATATATAATCTCTATAGATTTTTGTTGTATGTACTGATTTATTTTCTGAGATAGTGAGGAAAAATTGATTTTAACCATCCTTCTTGAGTATTTAGGTACTGGTTGATGGATTTTTTTGTTGTTTCTAATTTCAATAGTAGAGTGAGCTGGAATTCCCTGTATAATGTCAAAGATTGCCAATAAAATATTGCCTGGTAATAGGCAGAAGTTGAGTGGTTTTACTTCAGTCTTATTTATAAATAGACTGTTCTTGTGGGATTGAATATGGTAATGTTGTTGCAGGCCAAGGTCTTGTAATAATGATTGAAAAGGATGACTAGCAGAGATATTAACTTCTTGAAGAATGTGTTTATTATTTGATAGGAAGTTGACAATTTCATTTATTATATTGAGCAGACGGTATTTGAATCTATTGAGAGAACCGAAAAAGACCTATAGTGTGAAAGTGAACATACTCGTAAATAGTATTCAACAAAAACCATGGGAGAATATATTGATTGGACAGCCCAAACATCTAGTGAGATTATTGTCAAGATCTATAGTGAAATGTTTTCCTTTGAGTGGTATTCTTTCATCCATAAAGATATATCTTTTGCGAGTCTTAACAACTGCATTAATGTTATATAGGAACCAGAATGTTGTTTTAGGATTTGGTATTGGACCATAGGTTCCAGACAAGTTCTTAGTGTTTGCAAATGTTTCGAACCAATTGGGCTATGGACCCAAGCAAATTATTCCTGTGTGTGTAGCGAGCTATGACCAAGAAAGTTTGGTGGTGTTATTGTACTTCAGCAGTTGGTTAATAAACTTTATGTTGAAGGCATTAGTTGTACTAATTGCTGTTTTTCTAAGTTGTGATTGCATGTTGATGAATAGAAATCTGATCGAGTTTTTCATGTTGTCAAGATGAAATAGACATTCTGCTGGACAATTTTGGATTTTGAGGTTCTTGACTGATTTTGCAGCATAAAGGATCTAGTTTTCCTGGTTGAATTTCTCTAGGTTGCAAATGGGACAGAACCAAATAGCTTCTTTTATTTGGATAAACCGAATGTCTTGTATTATATACTTCCTGATAGAGGGGATAGAAAGTTTGGAAATGAGGTTTTTTATTAGAGCGATTCTTTGCCTCTTTTCTAATACTGTCAAGTTGAGGCCACTGCGGCTAACTAGGATTGCATTAGAGCATTTTGATAAAATCTTGTATGCCGACTTTACCAGTTTGTTGATTTTAATTTGGAGTAAGTTAAGAGTTGTTTTGTTAAGAAATGAGGAGAGTAGAAAATACTTGAACTTTCTCATGATGACTCGTTATTAATTTGTTGCTTGATTTCTCCTTTCCAATTGTGTTTAGTGAGCTCTTCAATTATCTGTGACAATGTCTGCAAGAATGCTTTTCTGTTGACTTTGTTAAAATTTCTGAAAGAGATTAATGTTCCAAGATACTTAACACTTTCATATGGTTTGAGAATTTGGACATGATAGTTGTCAAATCTGATGAAGCTCTGAGTGCCATGCTTTACTCTAATATTGTTAATTATTTTTGTTTTCTCTTTATTGTATATTATATTGTTCAGTGCGAAGAATTGGTTGGCTACATTTAGAAGATTCTCTATTTTTTGCTTGAAGTCTGCAATAAGGGCTAGGTCATCCATATATGCAAGCATGCTGGAAGCCACATATCCTCTAACCAAGTTGTATTGTGATAGTTTGGTGACCAGAGGGTTATAAAAAATAACCCATGTAATAGGTGATAGAGTTTTGCCTTGCTTTACTTCATTGTTAACAATGAATAGATCAGTTGGTCCAAATGGTATATTGATGGATACTTCTCTGTTGCTCAGAATATTAATAAGAAGTTTATTGATTTGCTTGGGACAGTTGATTCTTTCTAATGATCTTTTGATTGCTGATATTGGAGCTGAGTCGAATGCTTTGGCAATATCAAGAGAGGTGAACCAAAATTTCTTATTGTTGGCATTTGCTGCTTGGAGAGCTGAGTATACAATTATTAGAGGTTCTATTGTACTTTGTTCCGGAAGGCCAACACAGTTGAATTCTGATAATATGTTATTATTTTTGAGGATTTTGGTTAATTTTTTATTAATCAGTCCTGTAAATATTTTCCTTGTAGAGTCAACAAGCAAGATAGGTCTAGTGTTAGCAAGCTTGTGGCTCTACACTACTTTCTTTGGAATAAGTGTGATAATGGTTTGTTTCTACTGCTTGGGTATAAAGGTAGATTGTAGGATATGATTGAATACTGTTATCATATATGCAATAGCTTTGTCCCCCATAAGTTTGATGATGTCATAGTTGACCCCAGATTTTCCTGGAGCTTTGTTCTTTGGAAGCTTACAAATGGCTTCTTTGATATCTGAGAGAATATATGGATTTATAAGGTTGTTATATATTTTTTAATTGATTGGTTTGGGAGTATACATGTTGCTGAAATTCATAGATCCTTGACGCAATTGACGCAATTATTTGACGCAATTAATTGAGTCACTATTAAAACATATAAATAATTGAGTCATGACGCAATTATTTTTGAGAATTTTGGAAATTGAGTCAACAGCAAATAATTTATACCACATGTATATTTGGAAGTATAGACTTCTTTTCATTTAGGAAAATCCTCAAGTTTGAAGTCTCTGGATCATAGAATGTTTTTGAAGTATTTGTTGATAGTTTCTTGAATGAAATTTGGATTATCTTTCAATTGATTGTTAGAATTGTATATTTTGAACAGATTGATTTTTGGTTTGATAGTTCCAAGAGCTTTTTTGATATAACTCTTTGGTTTGCTATAGAAGTTCTCTATCATGTTTTCCAAACTTAGGTGAAATTCTTTAGCTAGTTCTTGTTAGGACTGAAGTAGAATTTCCTTGATTAATAGTTTCTTCAGCTTTTGGAGACCTTTAATTGACACATTGGAGCTATGGTTAATAACTTCATACAAAGTTATTAACTCTTGATCCAGAGGAGATAGGGGCCTCTGGTTGTTCTTGAGTTATATCATTGTTTTGTTGATTTTCTTGGTTTGTTTTTTGAGTTTTTTTTTTACACTGGTGCGATAATCTTTTCAGATAAGGTTAACTTTGGTTTTCTTGATGTGTTTGTTAAGGGTATTGATGCAGATATTATGGAAGTTGTCCCAATCTGGTAATGATAGAAGGCTGATTCAATGATCTAATTCTTTGATGAATTCTGTGACATTTTCTTTTGAGGTTTTGTTAAGATTGAACTTGAAGGCTGGTAGACATTTATAAGGTATATATTTTTTAATTCAAAGTAACTATGAAATAACTATAAAATAATATTACTATATTTAGATAAACTTAGTCATAGTTATACATGTTGCTGAAATTCGTAGATTCTTGATGCAATTGACGCAATTATTTGACGCAATTAATTGAGTCACTATTAAAACATATAAATAATTGAGTCATGACGCAATTATTTTTGAGAATTTTGGGAATTGAGTCAATAGCAAAATAATTTATACCACATGTATACTCTGTTATATACAAATCAAATAAAGAAATGATGTTTACCTATTTAAAATATATATATATATTTGTTTAACTTTATTATTTAAGATATTTATTTAAAAATTAAAAAAACTATTTTTTAATTTTATAATTTTTTTATTTATAAAAATTTATTAAAACATTTATTTGTCTTAATTTAATCTTATATATTTATTTTATTAATTAATTTTTTAGTAGCAAAAATATAAATAAAGTATATCTTTTTTATATATTATTTATACAATATTAAATTTAATAATATACAGTAATTGATTATTTGATTAAAGTTAAATAATTTTTAATTAAAGCTATAATTTAAAAGTATAATTTTTTTAAATATAATTTAATATTTTACTTTTAATATAGAAAATATTTAAAAAATATATTGAAAGTTAGATTAATAATTTTAAAAAAAAAATAATAATAATAAATTTTTTTATTTTAATTTAATAAAAATTTAAGAAAATTAAAAAATAATTAGAAAAAGTAATATTAAAATTACGTAATTTTTAATAATGATTTTAAAAATTTTAACTTGAAAAAAAAAATAATTAATAAAAATTTAATATTTTTTTAATGAAAAATTTTCATATACAGTATAAAATTTTAAGTAAAAAAATTAAATAGTATAATTAATTATAAGTAATAGAAAATAATCTTTTTTTTTTTTAAAAGTATTTTTAAAATTTTTAATTGTATTGTAAACAGAAATGCTAGGTTTAATGATTTACACGGATAACTTCATTTTTTCATATTTAACATGTAATGTTAACATAATTAATTGGAATGTGAAAAAAAAAAAATATTTATTTTACTTTATTATATACTATTGTTTAAAAATATATTTATATTGATTCGAATTTTTAATTAATCGCCGATTGGTTTTTGAATGGGTAGATCATTTTATACGAGAAAAGGTTTCGCCAATTATACATGATCTATTACATAATTGCATTCATATTTTCATATTCCTATGAGTGATGAACAATTAAAATTATGTAATTTTATTTGCAATTTTAAGGTATATAAGTAATCACTAATTTTTAAGAAAAATAGAAAATTAAAATTTCAAATGACATCAACACCAACGCATCCGTCAATTGATTCGGAGCCTATTTACGAATTTGATGAGGCTCTAAAAATTGAGTTTAAAGAGAGCGTTGATGATGGTCAAATTAGCATTTATACCGGAGAAATTTCAAATGCTTGGCGATTCAGAGATGTTCCTCACGGAGGTATACATACATAAAATCCTGAAAAACTCAATGTATCATTATAAGATCATTTAACCCAAAAATTAAATTAAATCGACAGGCTATTTGATTTCCTTACTACTCAAAGCCCTGATGCACCATTTCCGAGAAACTAATCCCCACCCGGTTCAACTCACCGCACATTTCTTGAGAAGAAGTCATGTTGGACCGTTCAAGATTAAGATAGTGAACCTGAAAGTGGGAAGAATTTATTCAATTGCTAATGCAGAATTGATGCAAAGAGTAAATAATATTTTCGGGTTTTGAAATTTTTTTTTTTTATATCCGTTGACAATCATTTTGTGACAAATTGATAGACGAACCTTTCCGATGAGAGCTCTGAATATATAACCTGTATCACCCTCACATCAATCTTCGGGGACCTCTCCAGCGAAGTTGGACTTTCACCTCCGTTTTACGATACACCAAAAATCACGCCTAAATATCTATGCGTACCGTACAAGTATGATCCTGAATATCAAGATATTCCAAATTTATTACCTCACGTGAACGCGTTATATGATGATAATTTTTATAAAAAAAAGATGTCCGAATGTAGCAATTGGGTTAGTTTTATTGATGGACGGGAGATGGATTTTCTTTCTATGGGGTGAATATACATTATATTATTTTGATTCATTTTTTTTCGACAAAAAGAATTTAAATTGACTGGTTTTCAGATTATTCTCGGACCTATATTTCCCATCACCAGTAACCAACTACCTAGGCAAGAAAATTTTCAATTATTGGTTAGCAACGTTGACACTGGATATTCAATTTAAACACGTGCCTAAAGGAAAATGGATAGGTGGAACTTTCAGATCAAAATTTTTGAAGAATGGAAGGAATGAGGTTGATGGCGAATTATATGATGAGGAAGGGAATTTGCTTTGTATTTCACGGTAAGTTCAAATTTTATTTCTAAAATGTCAACATAAAAACACCTAAATTTTTTCATTTTGTTATAGACAAATGTATGTGATCCAAGACCCTGCCAAGCTATAGATGAATCTTTAAGCTAAACTGTAAAAGAAATAAAATAATAAATAATAAAATAATAAAATAATTGTTTACGTAACCTAAATGTGTAATCACCTGACTTGTCATATAAATTCAGAAATTTAAATGGTTTTTCGCGTTATCGTTATTAACAGAAGTAGAAAATTTTGGAGAAAGATAGATTAAAAAGAAATCAACTTTTCTTGTCGCCAACATGACTCCTGCAAACTATTTGGAAGAGATTAAAAATTTTGTATTTCACGAAAACAAAATTGTAAGACAGAAGGAAAATGCCGCGTTTTGTTCGCTTTACGATGATAAATCTTTACAACTTCTTTCCTTTATCCTTAGGTTACTTACAAGTGGCTAAGTCGGCGTTTTGGAATTCACGCGAATAAAGCTAAACAGTAGGTTTAACATTAAACAACTTCGTAGGATATCGCGTACTCCTCTAATAGAAAAATCATTAAAAACAAACAGAATGCTTTTTGAATTTATGTTTTTAGCTTCTAATGAATCCGCACACGCTGTTTATTGCCTTTGTGGCGTTTCCGAAGGTGGGCTTCACACAGTTAAACTTGTACTTCAGGAAGACTTAGAAGGTATATTGTTTAATGCTTTTGTCAGGATGTTAAGTAGATTAACAAATAATTTTTTTACGTTTCACTATAAAGAAATAACAAAAACATTCAACGTCTTGACTAGCATACATATATACAGTGTAGAATCCTGTCGCCCAAAGGTAAAAGGTCTAAGAGAGTGAAGATCACCATTCTTAAATATAGATATATTCAACACTATTAAATTATTGATTACGAACAGGAATCGTTCGCTCTTGCTACGGTAAATCGCGAAATATCAAAGTTAATACCAAAGAAAGAGAAAATTATTGTGAACGATCTTGGTAACGAATAATATAAAGTATTTTATGTGATATTCCAGTTTATGCAAGCAAAGTTGTTAAATTTTGGGTCTGGATGATCAGGTAATT